CAATGCATCAGGCAATGCAGCTGGCACAATGACCCCTTCCTTGAATGCTGAGGGCACAGAAAGGCATGACACAGTTTAACATTCGGTTTCACAGTGGCCTGGCAAGGTCTAACGTGGCCTCACCCTTAGCAGTCAGATGCTTGGAGGACCACACTGGATGCATGACCCTTTCATATCCATCGCAGCGCTGAGAGCGCATTAAGCATCCAAGCAACATTCCTTCACCTAACTGTTGTGGGAACAGATGGGATACAATGAAAAGAGTTTTTCTTTCTTTTTTTTTTTTTTTTTAAGATTTAATTATTTATTTGAAAGGCAGAGTTACAGAGAGACAGAAATAGAGGGAGAGACATTGAGATCTTGTACCAGCTAGTTCACTTCTCAAATAGCTGCAATGACCAGGGCCGGGCCAGGCTGAAATCAGAAGCTTTTTCTGGTCTCCCACATGGGTGCAGGGGCCCAAGCACTTAGGCCATCTTGTGCTGCTTTCCCAGGCACATTAGCAGGGAGCTAGATTGGAAGTGGAGCAGCCAGGACTCGAAGCAGTGACTGTGGGATGCCAGTGTTTATCTGCTATGCTACAATGCTGGCCTAGATAGTTTTTTAAATACTCCTTTAAAAAATATTATGAGGAGGGCCCAGTGCTGTGGCTTAGCGGGTAAAGGTGCACTTGTAGTACCAGCATCTCATATAGGTGCCAGTTTGAGTTCCAGCTGCTCCAGGTGCTTGGGCCCCTGCACCCTCGTGGGAGACTTAGCGGAAGCTCCTGTATCCTGGCTTCATTTCTGTGGCTGCTGCAGCTAATTGGGGAGAAAACCAGTGGATGGAAGACTTTCTCTCTCTGCCTCTGTATAACTCTGCCTTTCAAATAAAAAAGAAATCTTTTAAAACTACTATGAATCTAGATTCTCTTTTTTTACCCTGTAATTTGCCTAAAGTTTATGATAGTCTAGTGATGTAGTAAGCCTGAAGTTCAAAGAAGGTGGGAAACTTGCCCAACTTGACAAAATGGATAAATCCCAGGGCACAGGCTCCCAAACGCTGCACCATTCTGCCTCCACAACCCTGAAATGGTTCTCTTGAATGAATAAATGTTGTTGTTGTTGTTGTTTTTAATGAGAAAGGGACTTGGATATTTCTCTCTCTCTCTCTCTCTCTCTCTCTCTCTCTTTTGACAGGCAGAGTGGACAGTGAGAGAGAGAGAGACAGAGAGAAAGGTCTTCCTTTTCTGTTGGTTCACCCCACAATGGCCGCTGCGGCCTGTGCACCGTGCTGATCCGAAGCCAGGAGCCAGGTGCTTCCTCCTGGTCTCCCATGCGGGTGCAGGGCCCAAGCACTTGGGCCATCCTCCACTGCACTCCTGGGCCACAGCAGAGAGCTGGACTGGAAGAGGGGCAACTGGGACAGAATCTGGCGCCCTGACCAGGACTGGAACCCGGGGTGCCGGCGCCGCAGGCGGAGGATTAGCCTATTGAGTCGTGGCGCTGGCCCTTGAATGAATAAATGTTGAAAATTCATTGCAACTTCTGTGGTTGTTGGACTTTCACAGAAAATATGCTTTCCAGGGGTTTGTACTCAGACATTTTTCTTTAACATTTTTTAAAAATTTGAGCGAGACCTCCCATCCTTAGTTCACTTCCCACATGCCCACAATGGGTGGGGGTGGGCCAAGACCAAAGCTGGGAGAGTGAGGAACATCAGCCAGGTCTCCCACATGGGTGACATGAACCCAACTACTTGAGCTGTCGCCACAGCTTTCCACAGTCTGCATTAGCAGGAAACTGGATCGAAAGTGGAGCTGAGACTGGAATAAAGCACTCCAAGTGTGGGATGTGGGCCTCTCAGCTGATGGGCTACATGGCCACTCCCAGACTGCTCTAGTGAAGGAACCTGATGAAACTCCAGGAACTGCGACATATGGCCGGCTGCTTAGCCCTGGGATGTGAGGTCAAAATCTGACAGCCATGTGGGGTGGAGACACAGAAATCTTCCATCCACTGGTTCACTCCCCAAATGTCTGCAATAACCAGGGCTGGGCCAGGCTGAAGCCAGGAGCCTGGAATTGTATCTGGATGTCCGACATGAGTGGCAGGGATCCAAGTACTTGAGATGTTATTTGCTGCTTCCCAAGGTGCACACTGGCAGCAAGTGGAGGAGCCAGGACTCAAGCCAGGCCATCTAATATGGGACACGGGCGTGCCACGCAGTGATTTAATTGCTGTACGATGCCCCTGGACCCCTGAGTTTTTACCCGCCTGACAGCACTCCTTCCTCAGCAATGGAGGTAAGGATGGGGGTGAGGCATGTGCTGGACCTACCAGCTCAGCAGAAGGGGAGCGGTCAGGGCCGTACTGAGAAGTCTCAGCATCATGCCCCCTCCAGCACACGCCTGTGTGTCCTAGCTGCCGCTCAGCTTTCCTCCCTTCCAGAGCCGTCACCCCTGATCTGTACCCCATCTCCACCTTGCTCTGTACGGATTACAGGCCCACCTCGTACCAGGGGCCTGCCAAACCTTTCAGCCCAAAGCCTTAGAGTCTCGGGCACCGGCAGAGGGCAGTCATGGATGTACCCGCTGCTGCTCTTCCCTCTCGGTCTGCAAAGGCTGACCTTTGCCCCTGCAGGCCCAAAGATGGTTTTTGGGGATGGCAAGGAGGACCTTCAGTGCTCAGAGGCTGACGCACTCTGCTGCCCTTCTGTGCCAGCCTCTGAAGCACCCGGGAGAGGTCAGCAGCGCCCCGCTCTGCCCCCTGCGGGTTCCTGTGCCTCCACCTCACTCTGTAGCCTCTCCGCCTCCCTCCCCACGATGCTCTTGCAGCTCTCCCTGCGGCCCTCGCGACCTTGCAGCCCCCTCCCAAATGCTGCCCGCTTCTGCTTGCTTTCCAGCTACTCCCCTATTCCCTGGACCCCTCAAACCGCATTCAGGGCCAAGCCCATCCCTCTGCCTCTCCCTGGCCTCCGGTTGGAGCTCTCCTCACGTGGGCCAAACATTCCAGCTCCGATGGCCTCCAGCCTGGCCCGACTTTGCTCCTCCAGAGCTGGGCTCGCAGTTTCAATCTCTTTCCGCCACTTGACATATGGCTCCTTCCGTCCAAAGCCATGATTCTTCTCCACACAACTTCTTCATAACTGTCTTCTTTCCCATTTATATGCTATTTTTAAAGATTTATTTATTTATTTGAAAGGCCAAGTTACAGAGAGGCAAAGGCAGAGGCAGAGAGAAAGAGAGAGAGAGAAAGAGAGAGAGGCCTTCCATCTGCTTGTTCACTCCCCAAATGGCTGCAGTGGCTGGACCTGGGCCCATTCAAAGCCAGGGGCCTGGAGCTTCCTCCAGGTCTCCCATGTGGGTGCAGGGGCCCAAGGACTTGGGCCAAGATCCACTGCTTTCCCAAGCACATTAGCAGGAAACTGAATCAAAAGTGGAGTAGCCAAGACTCAAACTGGTGCCCACATGGGACGCCGGCACTGCAGGCAATGCCTTTACCTGCTATGCCAAAGTCCTGGCTCCTATGCTATTTCTTTTTTAAAAATAAATGTATACAAGTCAAAAAGTTCCACTTAAATAATAAACAGCACAAGTGGTACCTATCAGACACACTGCCCATACACTGACCTCCAGGGTCATGTCTCTACCAGCCTGGCATTGTCCATTGCCTGGCATCCAGTGCTGGTATTAAAGTAGCTTTCTGATCCAAGATCCCACATTCTGAGAGGGAAAGACAACATACATGAAAACTTCGCAGCGGTGCAGGGAGTAGGGGAGTAAAACAGCTGGATCTCGGCAGGAAGGGAAGGCCGGAGGTAGGCACTGGCCCGCACAGCGAGGCCACCCTGGGGAGTTAAAATTTCACTGTGAAGCCGCCGATCTATCTGGGAAGACTGGAGAGTCACAGAGATGTAGGCGTAGCGTTAGAGCATACGGTCTGCGAGCCACGCACTGGTCGGGCCCCGCAGGGACACAGGCGCTGCCTTCCGGGCACCGGCAAAGAACCGATCCAACCTGAGGGGCGTGCCTGTTGGAATCTCGGTTTCCGTCGCAGCTCCGACGCCAGGGCAGCGAAGCCAGAGACAATCTGGCGTTCCTGCGGCGCTGACAGCCGCTGAGCATTCCCCAGGGCGCCCGGCGGCCGGGGGCGGGGCTTGTGCTGTGACGCCGCCCCACGCCTCGCCCCGCCCCGCGCGCGTTGCCAGGGTGATCAGGTGACTCGGGGCTCGCAGCGCTCCGGGCGGCCGTGACGTCAGACGAGCGGCGGCTCTTCACCAGCGAGCGGCAGGTGCTGTGCGTTCAGTGCCGTCTCGCACGGTCTCCTCAGGTGCCCGGCCAGCTGAAAGAGAGGAGAGGTGAGGCGCGGCGGACCCGGGCCCAGCCAAACCCGGACGAGGGAGGGGCGAGGCGCGGACACGGCGCGTCTCGGGCTGCTGCTCCTCAGAGGGCGCCCCGAGAGCCGGCGGGCGCTGGGGCGGGGGCTCCGGCTGAGGCGCGCGGTCCTTGCTGAGGGACCCGGCGGCAGCCTGCCCTGTGCCCACCGGGCGGCCCACGACTGTTCTGGGGCTCTCCGCGGTGGGCTGAGGGGCTCCGGGTTCCTGCGGGTCTCGCGTCGGGAGGACTCGGCGGGCTCGGAGCGGGATTCGCCCCACCCGGTCTCGGGAGACGTCCGGGGGAGGCTTGGGCTGCGGTTTCCCAGGCGTTGCTGTAAGTGCTCCAAGCTGGGCCTGCTGGGGGTAGGAGGCCGAGAGGGAGCCGGGGGGGCGGGGACGGACTGGCCTCGGGGAGCAGAACCGGGTTCTCGGTGGCCTGGGGTGGACGAGAAGGCGTTGCGAGCGGAGGGATCCTGGCAGCTGTTGCGAGCGAAGACCGGGATCCGAGTAGACCTGTTGGGGGAGGTGAAATCTGAGCGCCGTCCGGAGGGGTGGGAGTCAACCTCGGGCGGGGGGGGGGGCGGGGGGGACGGAGCTGGAGGAGTCGGGGGAGGGAAGGGGCCAGGCGCCTTGCGCTGGGGTAGAAGGAAAACGGTTTGGTAACTGATTGGACTTCGTGCTGCGGCGGTGTGGGGAAAGTTCGGAGAATTATGTTAGCGCCGACTGGGAAAAACTGCTGAGTGCCCAGCTGAGGCAGCCTGTGCCGCGGGGAGCCATTGAAACGGCGGCGGGAAGCGGGCTGGGGGGACGCTGAGGAAGTTGATGTGACAATCCGGAAAAGAGGTGACAACACTTGAACTCTTGTCTAATAGCATTCTTGGAACCGTGCTTATGAAATATTGATAACAGACAGGGTGGGGGCACGGGCAACCAGGTGCGGTAACACCTCAGCCATTGTTAACAGGTTTTAAAGACTCCTTCTTGTAGGAGAAAGGGCACAGCCCACAGCAGCGCATTTTCATGGATCTCATTTGACTGGATTTAATGACCAGCTGGGGGCTGGGCTTCCGTCAGTCTGCGAGGAGGTGGTAATGTCGATAGTTCTGGCTCTTGAGAGGTTTGCCTGCCTCACAAACACTGCCTCTCCCTAGGGTGAAATCCAAACCCCAGGAGACTGGAGACTGTTAGGAGGTTTAGTGGAAGGAAGTTACGAAGGAGAGGTTAATTGACCGTTTCGTGAGCAGCAGAAAAAGATGCTTTTTTATATCTGAGGAAGGTTTTGGTGACTCTGGATTTTTCCAAGCTCTGAAGTCTATTGATGCTGTCACCAAAAAGTAGCCACACACCGACCCATTTCATTCTGAAATTGAGCCACTTCTGTTGTCTGGGAGGAAGTGAGATGGATGAACCTTCCCACCAACAGGTTTTGTCTTTGTTTGACTCCAGAAAACAGAATTGGACCTCCCGGGATCCTGTACATTAAAAGACAGTTTAGGGAATTGCTAAGAGCTCTGGAGGATGGACACAGCTGGCTTGTTCGGGAGTGTGGAAGCCTCTCAAGGGATCCAAAGTGGTGGGGCCTGGGAAAGCAAGCTTGCTGTCAGAAGAGCGAAGTCCTCTGGAAAGGAGGCCCCGTGATTCCCCGCTCTGGATTCCTGTAGGGCTGGATATAGGACAGTAATTTTTAAGGCACTTTGAAGGAACCTGTTCAGATTAAGAATCACTGGAAATGAGATGTCTTGGCCACATTGTTTTTGAAACTGTTAACCATTTTCTAAGCCGTTTTTGTATTTGAACTGGCCAACTAATTAAGCTTCCCTGGGAAAGAGTCCACCCCTTCCTCCCCCAGACACAATAATATGTGCTGTCAGGGCGGTTAAGTAGGCCAAGAGTTTTTGGAAATTTTCCGTTTTCGTTCACCCCTCCTACCCCCACAAGTCTTCCTATTGGTAGAGAACTTAAGACTTCCCTGTAAGGAAAGAAAAAAAAATTGTGTTTACCTAAACAGAAACCATGATAAACACTGGGCTAGCCTTTAGCAGAAATGCTGCTCCTTAAGGGGAACTGGGCAGAGGTAAGAGGCAGGCAGGCTGTGGCCAAGCCTTTGTCACCCAAGGCCCTGGGCAATGCGCTCCTTTCTTGGCACAGAAACATTCCTCAACCTTGAACCAAATAATGACCAGTGCCCCCTTCACAGAGATTCCAAGGAGAATTAAGGAGAGACTTAGAGGAAATTTGAGCTCTTCTAAAATAGCATATTTTCGTTCTTGGATGAATAGTATATTTTAATATATAGTGAAATACACAAAATGGAAGTATAAGCTTTTGTGAAAGCCTTGTTCAAAGTCTAAGGCCTTTCTGCTCTTTTTTTCCCCCTGGAGTATGTGGGCTTGGTTACCAGTCTGTAATCAAGAGTGGGAGGCCTGAGGCTAAGTACGTGTTTGTATTTCATGTGTAAATAAGCTCAGATTCTTCATTACCCTTTATTCTTTCACTGTGCACCTGTCTTGGCTTTTAGAATGCGTGTCATAAACGAGTGACCGGAGGCTGTGGGACTAGCCTCCTTCAACCCAGCATCATTTTAACAGCAAGAGTGTTGCGGGAAAGTCTCAGCCTCAGAGAAGTGAGTTAAGCCTGAAGGAGACAAGTGGATAATAGTATTGAATTGGAGTGAAATAGTTAGTGCTTTCAATTTCCCTATCCTAGGCCAGGCCAGCAGCTTGCTGCAAAGTCTAGTAGAGATTCAGGTGCTGGCTGATGTGCCCAGGGACTCCGTGGAGCTACAACACCCATGCCTTACACTTCTGACATGCGCTAGCTGGGAATGACTCTGTCACCGGAGAGAAATTTTAAAAGAAGCTTCTGTTTACCTCAGGGTGAGCTGAGTGCTGTGCTCCAGACCTCCAAGCTCCTGTCATTTGGCCAAGGCTACTAATTGGCTTGGCTGTGAGATGGGAGTCAGCAATTAAAAGGCAGCAGTACAGAGGCAGAGACTTAGACATGGGCTGTTCTCACAGCCTCGCACAACCAAAAAGGTTCACACCACTTTGGGCAGTAAACAGAAAGGGCTGTTCAGAATGAAGTGAGCTTGGAATGATATCCTCCTAGTTTTTAGGAGAAATTTGTAGAATATTAGAACAGACAGTCCACCATTTACAGTACTTCATTGTAGGGCTTTTCAACTTTATAGGGGTACAGAAGCCTTATCTGTACACCCATTCTGTTTGAAACTTTAAGTACATTATTCGTGAGGGCCAGTGTTGTGGTATAGTAGGTAAAGCCACCTCTTGTGACAGTAGCATCCTGCTTGGGTACTAGTTCATGTCCCAGCTGCTCCACTTCTGATCCAGCTCCCTGCTGTTGGCCTGGGAAAATCAGTGGAAGATGGCCCAAATATCTGGGCCCCTGTCAGCCATGTGAAAGACCTGGATAAAACTAGCTTTGGCCTAGCCATTATGGCCATCTGGGAGTGAACCAGAAGATGAAGATTGATCTCTCTCTCTTTCTCTTTCTCTCTCTCTCTTTCTCTAACTCTGACATTGAAGTAAATAAATAAATCATTAAAAAAAAAAGTATTCAGTAAGTTAACATGATATTCAACACTTAACTATAAAATGGGCTTTGTATTAGGTGATTTTGCCCTACTGTAAGAAAATGAAGTGTTCTGAGCATGTTTAAGATTACTAGGATAGACTATGATATTCCTTTTTTTTTTTTTTTTAGAATTATTTATTTGTTTGTTTGAAAGAGATTTTCCATCTGTTGGTTTACTCCCCAAATGCCTGCAAGAGCCAGAGCTGGGCCAGGCTGAAGCCAAGAGTCTGGAACTCAGTCCAGGTCTCCCACTTGAGTGGCAGGAACCCACACACTTGAGCCCTCACTTCTGCCTCTCCAGGATGTGTATTAACAGGAAGTTGCTTTGTCAGGGGTAACTGGGGCTCAAATTCAGGCACTCTGATATTGGATGCAGGCATTTCTTTTTTTTTAAGATTTATTTATTTGAGCAGGGAACTGGATTGGAAGTGGAGCAACTGGGACTTGAACTGGAGCCCATATGGGATGTCAGTGCTGCAGGCTGGGGTTTAACCTGCTGTGCCACAGTGCTGGCCCTTGTTGCAGGCATCTTAACCACTGTGCTAAACACCTAGCTCCAGGTTAGGTGTATTCAGTGTACCTTTGTCTTACGATATTGTAAATTTACCTTAGGTTTGTTGGGACAAAATTTCATTGTAAGCAGAGGAACGTCTGTACTAGTCTCATACTCAAAGCCAGGTCTAGAAAACTGGATGAGTCTCACATCTAAAGCAAGCGAGACAAATTGTTTGACTCCAGTGTCTGGGCAACAAACTAGTGTGATGACTTTACCATAAACAAGGGGGGACTTAGATTTTTTTGGCTTAAGGGAGTGTTGGTAGTCATGGTGGGAAGAGGGGAGGGGGCAGGGATCTAGTTCCATATGATTCGTGCTAGAGAGCTTTGGCCCAGAAAACACATCATAACTGAAAACCACATAGACAAGATCAGTGTTCAGTAAATGGTAGAGATAGCAAACAGATGCTAGACTTCTGCCATATTTATTTATTTATTTATTTAACAGGCAGAGTGGACAGTGAGAGAGAAAGGTCTTCCTTTGCCGTTGGTTCACCCTCTAATGGCCGCCACGGCTGGCGCGCTGCGGCCGGCGCACCGCACTGATCCAAAGGCAGGAGCCAGGTGCTTCTCCTGGTCTCCCATGGGGTGCAGGGCCCAAGCACTTGGGCCATCCTCCACTGCACTCCCGGACCACAGCAGAGAGCTGGCCTGGAAGAGGGGCAACCGGGACAGAATCTGGCACCCCGACCGGGACTAGAACCTGGGGTGCCGGCGCCGCAAGGCGGAGGATTAGCCTATTGAGCCACGGCTCCGGCTATTTTTTAAAAGAGTACAGAGAGAGGGAGACACACACACGCACACACAGAGAGAGCGCAACGCTGACCATCTTTTGCAACCTTCCCTGGTGCATCAGCAGGAAGCTAGATCAGAAGTGGAGCAGCTGGGACTCCACCCAGCACTCAGATATGGATTGCATGCTTCACAACTGATGGCAGAACCTGCTGTGTCACAGTGCCAGTCCTGCAACATAAATTTTAATGCTGCACACAGTGCTTTGCCAGTCAGCTTTCAGTGTCAGGATGAATGGGGAGAAGAAATGTGAAGGAGGGGACGTCTGTAGGAATGTGCGTATCTCCTGAGTCCTTATCGTTAAGCCTTATACTTAGTGCTTTCCTTCTGCCACTTGCTTCCTGAATACTTCAGACTCTGTCTTCCTCTGCCTTCCCAGCCCCAGCCTTTCCTTCCCAACAAAACACTTTTCTAAAGCCAGTCAGGTATCTGTTCCCAGTTTCTGCATCCCTGTGGCTTGGCTGACTGTTGGACTAATTCTTGGTGATCTTTATTGTCTGTTGGTGGTGATATGAGAATTACCAGTGAGGGGGTGGAAACCCTGGTGTTTTTTACACTTTGTGTCCCATGTGCACCATTTTTGTCTTGTCTCTATGCCATCTGTAGTGTTATTTAACCAACATTTTTCTTTAAGCTGACCTTTTAAAAAAAACTCAAAAAAGTATTTAAAAGAAGCATTGTATCATTGCCTTAAATTGAAAATTACTGTATTACCCGCTACAAATAGAAGGTAAATGTAAAAAGACATGGCTATTAAAATGTAGTTTTTTAATACTTATTCCTCAAATCATGGTACGTGTTTGATTTCATTCAGAAATGTGAGTCACTAATAGTGAGTTTTATAGGCGACTGTGGTTGAGTGATAGGAGTGGTTTGGGGTAGGCAGGCCTTTGGAGAGTCCT